TTGGTGGTAGTGGCAGGGGCGAATCTATTAAGGGACCAGGGTGGTCAGGGGACCACCCGAAGCTCGGAAAAATGGTTGTGAGAATCTTCAAGGACCACCCATGTTAGCGATGTTGCACCAATGATGCTGCACAAGTGATGCGCAACATGTGATGTTGCACCAGTGATACTGCACAACAGCATAAGTGATGTTGCACAATGACTTTGCAAAATGACGTCGTTTTGAGCCAAGTCAGTAAAAAAATTTAAAACCTTACTCACTTGAGAACCTTCACACGATACAGCACTCAGCTCATTCACATGATAGAGCAATCAAAACCTTCACTTTACCAATAATACTTAATCGTCTGCCGCTCGGCCCGTTCCTGTTTCTTACGGCATCGATCAACTCTTTGTTGCACTTTAGTTTCTGTTCACCGTTGCACCGACGGGCGGGGCGACGACATCTTTGGTGAAAATTTGTAACCCTTATGCATTTTTTCTCCGTGTAAAGCTCTGGTCCGGAGGCTAGCCGCTGGTTCTATTTTTCTTAGTCGAAGAGGTTTGTACTCTCTTTGACTATGTCCATTAAATAATTTTGCCATCCACTATCTGATATTAAATTAGTTGTGGTGTTCGATATTTAAATAATTTTACCATCCACTATTTGATTTATTTGTGGTGTTAGATATTTTGTTTATGAAGTATTTTAATTTTTAATGTTTGGTGGTGAATCTAGTGATGAATTAAACTTTTAATGTTTCTTTGAAGTGATGGCAGTCTATTCGTGGCATGCATCTCTTTGTCTTTGGCATTCATAATATTAGAATCCCACATGCACAGACCTAATTATAAATTTATAAATGAATCTGATTTCTCGTTTTTCATATAATATTTTTTTAGTTTCATCCATTGATATAGATTTTTTTTATTAATTGATATGTGTAGAAATTAGAAGTATGGAACAATATTACAAGCGAAAATCATCATCGATTAGTTCGGACAATCATATTCCAAATAGTTCATCTCCAAACTTGGATAGTTCCAATCCTACTCCGAACAGTTCCCCTCCAATTCCAAGTAGTTCTAATCCAATTGGGGGTAATTCCACTCCATAACAAAATGAGTTAAAAGTTGATTTGGATAATCTTGAGAGAGACACCGGAAAGAGAATTCCAATGAAGGATTATCCTTCAGATATTCGAGATGAGGTCCGAAGAGCATATATATTGATGGAGCCTTTTAGAGCTAAAGATCATGATTTTCCATTCACTTTGCATTCGAATAAAAAGCGACGGTTCGTTGATAATTGGTTGAAGGAATTTCATTGGTTGGAATATAGTATATCTAAAGATGCTGCATTTTGCTTTTATTGCTATCTATTCAAAGTCAACTTTGAACAATCAGGCAGTGACGTCTTTACTGAGGTAGGCTTTCAAAATTAGAAGCACGCAAGAACCTGTTTTGAAAAACATGTGGGAATGGTTGGTAGCTTTCACAATAAACCTGTTGAAGCTGCTAGTAATCTAATGAATCAAAAGACACATATTGAAACAGTTGTGGTCAAACAGTCAGAAGAAGCTCATATGGCTTATTGCACTTGCTTGAATGCGTCAATTGATTGCACTAAAATTTTTTTGCGACAAGGTCTTTCATTTCATGGTCATGATGAAAGTGACACTTCAAACAATAGAGGTAACTATTTGGAGCTCTTGCAATTCCTTGCAGAACATGATGAGAAAATAAATGCCGTTGTTTTAGATAAAACTCCGGTAAATCTCAAGCTAATAGCTCATTCAATTCAAAAAGATTTTGGTCATTCATGTTCTATTGAAACCATTAAAACTATCATAAGTGATATGAAAAATGCTAGGTTCTTTTCTCTATTAGTTGATGAGGCATGTGATGTTTCTATAAAGGAGCAAATGACGGTGATTTTGTGTTATGTAGACAAAAATGGGAAAGTCATTGAAAGGTTTGTAAAAGTTCAACATGTTCCTAACACCACATCAAACACATTAAAGGAGTCTATTGATGCCTTCATTCATTTCAATGAGTTGAGCTTCTTCAATTTACGAGGGCAAAGTTACGATGGTGCTAGTAATATGAAAGGTGAGTTCAATAGACTCAAGACAAAGATTTTGAATAATCAACCTTGTGCATTCTATGTTCATTGCTTTGCTTATCAACTTCAATTAGCTCTTGTTGCCGTAGCAAAGGATAATGTTAATGTTAACACATTATTCCTATTGGCTAATAATGTGGTAAATAATATTAAAGCTTCATGTAAGCGTCGTGATGCACTTAGAGAGATGCAACAAAAAAAACTTATGAAAGCTCTTGAAAATGATTCTCTTATGACGGGACGAGGCTTAAATCAAGAAATTAGTCTCAAACGTGCCGGAGCTATAAGATGGAATTCACATTATGGTGCTTTGATTAATTTGATTACTATGTTCTCATCCGTGGTCAATGTGCTTGAAATGATTGTTGATGATAATACCAATGATAGTGTGGCTAAAGCAAATAGGTTATTGAAAGACATACAATCTTTTGAGTTTGTGTTTCTCCTATTTTTGATGAAATCTATATTGGGAATCACGAATGATTTATCACAAGCATTACAAAAGGATGATCAAGAGATTGTGAATGCAATGGCTTTAGTCAACACATGTAAAGAACAATTACTCTACATGAGGAATGATGAGGGGTTTGACCTTTTGGTTTACAAAGTATTGTCATTTTGTGTCCAACATCATTTTGAGATTATTAACATGGATGAGACATATGTAGCTCATGGGAGGTCGCATCATAATACCCACAAAAAGACCAACCGTCATTGTTACAAAGTGGAGCTCTTTCTTATTGTCATTGATTCCCAGCTTACAGAGTTAAATGATCGCTTCAATGAAACAAGAACCGAATTGCTCATTTATTTGGCTAGTTTGAGTCCAAATGATTCTTTTGTAGCTTTTGACAAAGAAAAGCTACTTTGCCTTGCTCAATTGTACCCTCAAGATTTTACGAAGTAAGACCTATTGGCACTTGAAGATCAACTCGATATTTGTATTCATTCTATGCGTTCGAGAATTGACTTTTCTCAGTTGCAAAGCATTAGTGATCTTGCTAAGAAAATGGTGGAAAAAAGGTTGCATCGAGTATTTTAATATGTGTATTTACTTATTGAATTGGCTTTGGCTTTGGCTTTACCTGTTGCAACTGCTTCAGTGGAGAGATCATTTTTAGCCATGAATATCATAAAGAGTCCACTCCGCAACAGAATGGGGGATCAATGGTTAAATGATAGCTTAGTTGTTTACATTGAGAAAGATGTTTTCTTGTATTGACAATGAAACTATCATGACACGTTTTCATAGTATGAGATCCCGTCGTGGACAAATTTAGTATTTCTAGCTTGTTTAGCACAAAGATTATGAATGAAAATTGTAGTTTGCCATTTATTTGTTCAATGATATTTTCTTCTTGTTTTTATTTTTGGAGTTTTTATATTGAGACCACCTTAAATTAAATCCTGGATCCGCCATTGGTGGTGGTGGTTTGTTTCACGGGAAGAAAGGGAGAGCCAAGAGAGAGTGAGAGAACTCTACAGAGAAAGAGAGAACGGGAGAGAAAAGGATGGAGAGAGAGTTTTAGAATCTTTTGGGTGCCCACGTGACACTCAAATAAAAATATCACATGTCCAATTAATTATCAATTTACCAAAATATCCTCGACGTTCAAAACCTCATAAAATCTTCATTATAATTCTGAATCACATTCTATTTGTGCTCACGCGTTCGTCTCGATGAGTACTATCCAAATATATAAAGATAAGTGGAACAATATGTAGGGACCAAATACGACCTCAAAAATTCCGTTTAATCTACTAGGGCGTTTTCGTCCTTTTACTTATTAAAAAAACTATACACCGTAACTATAAAAGTGTTGAAATTACAAAAAGAATACGAAATACTGAATAGGTAATTTTAAATAGTGAAATCCAAGGACGGGATTTCACACTTAAAATTTTTTGGCTTAAAATTTTAAACTTTATCCCCAAGGGTTGTACATGGTCTAAGGATTGGAAAAGTAGGCTAAACCTTCGAATGAGCTAGCCATAATAATTTGGTTTGAATACGTTTTTGGTGAGAATCGAACATAAAACCTCATTTATTTAAAATATTAATATGCAAATTTATGAATATATATATATATATTTATATTTATATCGATATCAGTTATTTTCAATGGAAATTATGGAAATTTGCGAGGTATATCAACTTATTCAAATTTAGTCGAAATTAGAGAAAATTTCTCAAAAAAATTCAAAAGTTCAAAATCTACAATGAGTTCCGGCAAAATTTTGGTAGTGAATAAGTAAATATCGTCAATATTCATTGATTTATATTTTCGTTGATATAGGGTGAAGTTTGCATTTCAATGCCCTTCCATATTGATCCTTAATTTTTCGACTATTTCAACAAAAACATGGACAATTTCTTAAATATTCTAAATATTGTTTATAAATAAATAAAAAATGCCTTTAGACTGTATTATTACGTCGTTGTTGTGGCTTATTTTATTTAACAAGGGAGAGATGGCGCGTTAGAGAGATGAGAGAGGGATGTTTGTAGTGTTGTTGTTATTCCTCTAGACAGTGTCTTTATTTATAGTAACAAGAAAGGAAGAATCATTCTCCTCCAAGGAATACAATCCTAAGCCATTTAGTACTACGGTCTAGTGATATTCATCTAGACTTGTAAGTGAGATGTTTTAGTTCATTCTCGCCAAAGGTAAATTTGAACTACATTATTGCTAGTCAATTGTAAGGCTAAGCCTACTCCCTCCCTTTAGTGTAGATAATATCATTTATTCAAAAATAAATAAATAAAAGGAATACAATCCTAATAGAGAAACAAACGATATTATCTATCAATTCTATCATAACAAAAGAAAATGAGCTTAGCTTCGCAATAAGAATAATATGGTTCAAACGGCATAAAGTTTAACACACCTCCTTTGTGACAAGACAATTTTAAACGGCGACTTCTTTACCGTTCTATCCGTTCTGATTTCCCACCAAATGGTGTATTCTTCACTCCCAATTCCCAATTGTTAGGGTTTTGATTCAATTTCAATGGAAGCGCCACTCTCATCTCCACCTCCGCTGATGAATCGGAACCAGAGGTCGCCGTCTCCGCCGGCGACAACCATTGCCGATCTGAACGTGGATTCGCTGGCTCAGTGCGCCAGCTACCTCAGTCTCCAGGACCTCTCCAACTTCGCCATGACCTGCAACTATCTCAAAAAGGTCGCATATTCCGACTCCATCTGGCAGCGCTTCTACAGGGAGCGGTGGCCGCGGAAACCACCGTCCTCCGCCTCGCAAACGCCAGGAGTGAGGGAGGCCTATCTATCCATGCTTAAGGATTCGCTGCAATTCAAGTTTGCCGATCCGATTGTCGTCGATTTCTACACCGCTGCCAATTCAAATCGTTTGGATCACATATTATTGGACAAGAATGATATAATCTTCTCTCAGGTATATATGATCATATTACACCGTTTTCTTTCATGAATTTTGAGTCTGAATAGTTGGGAAAAATCTTCAATTTCCGTTTTTTAATTTTTGTTGATTAGGGTTCACTGATACGAGTATTAACGATTGATCGTTGGTTAAACGGAACGGACTCGCCCCTCACTTTAATTGATCACAATGCAAGAATTACTTGCATGAGGTGGGCTCTCTGTGGTTTTCTTTTATTTTGCTTAAGTTTGGCTCAAGGGAAGTTCTTTTATTCCTGAAATATTGACATAAAATACAGGTTGTTTCCGCTGAATGAAACATCTTTATATCGAAGCGAAACACAGAAAGAGGAGAATGCTTTGGTAACTTCAAGCGCTGACCATTCCATTCGGCTATGGTGGAAGGTATTACATGAATTTGGAATATTTTTCTTGATAGACTCCGATTTGTTTGTTTTCCATACCTTTGATTTGGTAGAGTTGTCGCTTGCGCCCTACTTAGTTCAGGACAGGCTCGGGTATACCCCTCCAGGGTTTATACAAGATGGCGCCTTGTATCTGCAGGAATTTATCCCTGAAATCTTATTGTTCTTTTTTGAATGCTAATGTTGCATTTTTGGTTTTCATCCACATGGATTGATTTTCAAAGCTAAAACTCCGTCCAAAGTAAAAAACTTTACTTCGTAAGTGGCAGTTTGGTCTAATAAGTTACACTCATGATCTTTTGTCACATCCCGGGCCTGCTCCACCATCGTAGCACGATATTGTCCGCTTTGGGCTTACCATTCCCTCACGGTTTTGATTTTGGAAACTCACGAGCAATTGCCCAGTGGGTCATCCATCATGGGAGTGCTCTGGCCATCTTCTCGCTTAACTTTAGAGTTCCGATGGAACCCGAAGCCAGTGAGCTCCCAAAAGGCCTCATGCTAGGTAGGGATGGAAATATATATTTAAGGATCACTCCTCTGGGCGATGTGGGATGTTACATCTTTTCCTTCTACACCAGTCTATTAAATATTTGTTCTTGTAATTTATGATTTATCTATGTGATTCAATTACTATTATTGTACTGTGATACCATCATCAGTAGTGTTCAGTTCTGTGTTGAGTTCAATATTAGGGACATAAGGAGAATGATTGCTCATTTGCTAGGTTATGGTTTCAACTTTCTCCTAAGGGTCCTAATCTCATTATTTTGTCACAGGGTGCTTGCCGAAGATGTTTTAGAGGTCACAGTGGCCCAGTTTCAGCATTGTCAGATAAGTTGTTAGGTGATGGAGCAGGAAAAGTATTGGCAAGTGGAGGGGAAGATGGCACCGTTCGCCTTTGGTCTCTTAGCTCCAGTGGGAGACGTGGCCAGCATGCTTTAAAGGCTACTTTCTATGGGCATGAGAAGCCCATCCGATTGATGTCAGTTGCTGGGTATGATGGTCCTTTTGAGGAGATTATATGTTTCTTTTCAGTAATACTAAATAAACTTCTTGTTCATCGATAAGCTGATTCAACTTCGAAGATAACATGTAGATATCTACCACATCTCATAAGTGATTCATCTAAAGAAGTTTATTGTGCCTTGGGTGACAAATTTTCCCATAAGATTGATCTATGTGTTTTGGTCTTAACGGCAGGCACAATACCTCTCACTTGGTAACCGTTTCAAGAGATTCTAAGGTATTCTCTTTTATCCATCGCTAGTAATTGCTGATCAGCCATACAACGGTGAATTCTGTTACACTGTCATTGGTATCTGATGATTGTGGTTTCTAACAGGTGAGGGTGTGGGATACAAATGCATCATCCTTTGCTCGTTCTTCATGCTGTGTGGGGATGACTTCTACTCTTGGTGCCCCTATAGACATGAAGTGTCATGAACATTTGGTCTATGTTGCTGCTGGTTCCTCCGTTACAGCAATTGATTTGAGGACAATGCGAAAAATTGTCATTGCTGCAGTGGACGCAGAGCTATATTCTTTTCAGGCAACGCCATCCAAATCTTTATTCTGCATAGGCAGCCATGGCAGGTACAATGAGTAGAATTCCCTTGGTTTCATTCGTCTTGTGTGCCATATCTAACAAAAGGTTGAAGTTTGTTCTAGTCGTAATCTTGACATTATTGAAGAAATGAAGTTTTCTTAATTATGCAGAGCGATGCTTTACGATATAAGGATGAACTGTGGTACCCGGAAATCAGAACCAATAGCGGAGTTAGAAGCTGGACACAAAGGGCCGGTGCATTACTTGCACATGGACCCATACAAAATTGTCACCGGAAGCCCCAAGGATATGCATGTTAACATTTGGGAGGCTGACACTGGTGCCCTAACAAATTCCTTGAGCTGTGGTCCTGCAGGTGAAACAGACAGAAGCTCTTTGTTTTCTGCCCTAGCGGTAAATGGGAGTAGAATAGTTACTGGAATCGTCGATGTCCTCGATGATGTGGGATGTTTACGCTTTAGGGATTTCACAAATGCTTCTTGCCCTGTCGTGAATCGCGACAAAGATCATGTTGCAAAGTTTTGGAATCAGGAGTCGTACAGTGATACCGATGGTTCAGATGACTGAACAGATTTTACTTGTAGATGTTGTATGCCATATGACACTTAAATATTTGTAGATGTTATGACTTAATTTATTGGATTATTTTCCTTTTTTTTTTTCCATAACAAATATTTCTTTCATTCATTTCCAAAAGCTTGCAAAGGTTGGTGATGAGAAGTCCAAAAATATCAACCCCAGGTAAATTTCATGCTTCAAATCTGACGAGCTTTGACTTCGTGTGGTCCGCTAAAGAAAGGTTTCACGTGAAAGGGTGTGTTGAATAATGTAAAGTTTCGTATAAAAAATTACAATGACTAATTAGATGACCACATTTTGAATAATGTAAAGTGTCGTCGTCTTTGGTTCTTCACAGGAGGTGTCGTAGCATCGAGGCAGGCCGCAGGTCCTTCTTGTTGAGAGGTTTCTAAGACGCTTGATGCCAATATGGATCAAATACAGTCTTCCGTGGAGAAAATTGGAGGAAATTGAAGAAAACTTGAACAAGCTCGAGCGTTCAGTGATGACGCGAAACCACCCAAACAAGCTCATTCGTTCACTGCCGCTAAAACGCTCCACCTTGTCTAGATGTTCCTTCAAAAATGTTCATAGATCAAGCTCCAAAGCTTCTTCAAAATATTATTTCAATAGCGGTGTTTCTGATGGCAATGAGGCAAAGACAATCGCGGTTCATTCGTTCACGCTGAGGGGAACTACATGAGCAAGTGAATCCAGGAAAGAATTGAGAAGAAGTACAGTACTCTGAAATTCAGAGGCTAACAGATAAAGAGATGAGGCCACAACTTGCTGCCTTGTTTCACTGCCTAATGAGAAATATGAGAATCGTGTCGGAGTATCATGAGGCCGAAAAGAGAATCATGGAGACGGTAGAAGCGCCCTACGAAGTGTTCTGCAGCGACTCACACGGCCACACCAACTTACTACCTACTCTAAGCTCGAAACAGAAATTCCAAAATCGTGTGCTTGCTTTACATCATATGTCTAGTTTGCTGCTGCTAAGAACGACACGCCTTCGCTATATCATCATTTGTTAGCTTGTTTGAATAAACTTCCATATAAAGATGTGACGTCTGCTGCCATGACAGAGTTTGGGAATGATGTCCGAGAGCTAATGATTCGACAAGTCAAGGAGCATAAGCTAAAGAAAAGGAACGATTCTCCAAGGTTTTCGAATACCTGGCTAATTATTCAAGAAGTGCTACGGAATGTATGATGGCCTTATAGCATTCGAGCGATGGGGATTGATGACGGAAGTAACAGCAACTCATCATTACATGTTGCAGGCAATTTCATATGATAGGCTTTAAGAAAATTTTATTTTTGTTCTTTTTGGTGATCAACAATATGTAGTTTTTTGTTTGTTTGTTTTGATTTGAAGTAATATTATTTATGGAACATTTACATTAAAATTGCTCTGCTCATATTGAAATTTTCGATCTGTGATATCACGAGCTTAACCCTGGCTCTCAACGGGAGTCGAATTGTTACTGGTAGCGCCAACAATGTTGCAGATGTCGGATGTCTCTGCTTTAGGGACTTCGCTGATGCATCTTGTCCTGCCTTTAATTCTTAAGGATGATCATGTTTAAAAGTTCTGAAATCCACAAACGAAGGAGATGGAAAATCCAAGAGAGTTTGTACATTCGATGTTATGGAGAATTTTACATGTAAGCAAAGCAACGCTTTATGCGGTCTAATTTACAACGAAATGCAGCACCAAATCTCGTGCAATTTACTTTTGATGCTCCATTTCTGCTATTTACAAGTATGAACAAGTTCTGTTTCGTTTTGTTTGTGTCTAAGAAAATAAACACTGAGAGTTTGAGGCACTCGGTTTTGTTGATTGACTAAGCGAAAATCAAGCTTGTAAAGCTATTCCATGTAAAGTTTTCATCAGTGTTGGAAGAGCAAACAAAAGGGCTGCCACCAACTCCGTCATAGATTATTCCACCGAACTCATCATCTCTACCAGCCTGCAGTTGGTTCCTTGGTTCTTCGCCGTCAATGCTGTCATCATCTGAGAAACTTGAGTTCTTCTGGACCAGATCTCGGAATACTGAAGATTGGAGGAGTAGGCCAAGTGCGGTGGGAGAAGATGATTTGCTGGTGCGGATGACTTCTTGCTTTCGAGGAGAGTGTACGTAATCAGAGGCAAAAGGATTTGTGAGTGAGAAGGGAGATTGCTCGGTTGTCATGTAGCTGCTGGCCGCAAATGGTGTATTCTTTGGCTTTATGACTGCCTCTGGTACTTGTTGAGAAGCTATCATGTCGTCTGCTCTTGGTTTCAACCATCTTATGTAAGAACTCAAGTCGAAGTTGGTCACAGCATTGATCCCTCTGTACTCAATTGCTGCAATGTCGTAGGCGCGAGCAGCTTCCTCTTGCGTACCTGGAACGCGATAAAGGCACATTGCTCAGAAATTGGAAACTCCTTTTCATTCTAATTTCCTGATACATGCGATATGTAGAGAGATATGGACTCGAACACAAAAAAAGAGAGAACTCACCGTAAGTGCCAAGGTAGAGGTACTTATTTCCGAAAACTCGTCCTATTCTCGCTTCCCATCTACCGTTGTGATGGTGCCTGTAAAACATGAATCAAACACTCTTTTAGATACTGTTTTTCCAACTTTTTAACGAATTGATGCGAACGATCTTTGAAAAAAAAATCAGAAATATTACCTTGCTACTCCTCGGTACTTTGATACACCTCTTGAAAATCCACTGCTCTTTCTGAAACAAAGAAACAAATAATTCTTTCAACAAACTATCAAAGGAAAATCCTCGGTGAAGAAGTATTTCTGCGAAAAAGATTTTCGAAGATGTTACCTTCTTAACGAGGCCAAATACTCTTCTTTTGTCATAGATTGCATGATCTCGATTTCGTTGTCATAGTCAGATATCTGTAAACGGATCATCAGGGTTTAAGATCAGATATTCTACGTTAATCTTCTAAAACCATGCCAAAGCACATCTCTTTAGATTTTCCGAAAATAAACTCCATAAACTATATAAATTTGTACCGGAAAGTTGGTGAAAGTCGATGCCCCCCAGTACTTAACTGCGGCTAGATCATATGCTCTTGCAGCAGATTCTTCTTCATCATAAGCTCCAAGGTAAACTGCTCAGTCCAAATAGTCCATTCAAAAGCGCGATACGTTAGAACGCAAGATTTCAAACAGATATCAATACCCAAGGGAAAAAAGAAATACATAAATCAACAGATTGAAGTAAAATGTGACATCAAAAGTCATAACCTACCTTGTTTCCCTTTCTTCTTCTGTGTTGAATTCCATGATAGCTTGTCCCACAAGTGAGCTTCAAATCGACCAGTCCACCGATGCCTGCTGACACCGCGAAATCTCGAGCTTCTCTTCACAGTGGTGGCAGCAGAAGCTTGATCAGCTGGCTTTTGTGCCAACTGCTGCTCAGTTTGGCTATTGCCACCAACTGCAGGTGGGTCTCTTCTCCTCCTCTTGACACACCGGGCCGCCTGAGCCTCAGGATCCGCTGTCCTCAGGCGGCACCTACCTGCGTTCTCTTCATTCCTCACCATCATGAACTCCATCTCTCGAGATAAACTGCTCCCGCTCGTCGTTGTCAAATTCGGTGGTGGTTGTTACTTGTTGATGTGGTTGCTTGAGCTGTAAGGAAGGATGTTGGAGCGTATATATAACTTGTGTGCTTGTTTTGGATCTATCTGATTAGTTTTCGGTTGCCACAACTGTTTTGTGTTAGAAAACAAAGGAGACGATGATCTCGGAGCATCTAAGACAACATTTTAGTGTCCGTACTGTTTTGTTAAACCCAAAGACCCAAAAGTTCGATGTGGTTTTTTGGAGTTAGTGTTAACAAACACCAAAAGTGAACCCTAACATCTAAGAATACCTTCGGACATGCCGATGTCTATTTGTTTATATTTGATTTCAATCTGAAAAACTCACTTTCCCAATTTCTGTTGGAGAATTCTAAAATCCGACGTCGGAAATTTGACGAATCAAAGTACATAATGTAAAAGAAAGAATAGTTCACTGCTGAAAACACCGATGTATTTATTGATAAAACTTCACACTTGTCAATCAAGCAAATGGTTATGGCAAGGTCGCCAGCAATACACAAGTTCAATGAAATCCAAATCTCCACATTGAGCTAGTCATTTAGATATTGGACCCGTCATTTATAAGAGTCAAACTGGATACGGTGTGCTGAGAAATATCATTAAATTGTGATACTAATGACAACGTTTGATTTTATCAAGATGTTGGGATGTGAGCTATTATTAGTATTACCCTATGTGATCACACTTGTGGGTAAGTTAAGGTTCGTAAGTTTTTCTTAGAATCGCTAATGAAAAAAAGTCATAGAAACTAGAAAATCACAGTTAAGCACTTTCAAGTACTTTTTCAACAAGCACTTTTAAATATTTTTTCAAGAAGCACTTTCAAGACATTTAAAAACATTTTTTTTTTCAAAAAACACTTACAAGTGTATTTTTCGTAAGCACTTCTGAGGTAAATTTTTTACATCACTAGTAAAACTCACTTGTAATAAAAAAACTTGTTAATAAAATTGCTTTTTGATTATAAAGACGCCAAACACAGCCTTTTTTTTTCCCAAATAAAAAACAAACAAAAAACAAAAGAAAAACGAAATTGAGTGTGGAGTCTCAGACCAAACCGCAACTTCATTTCAGTCCCAAATCAGTGAAATCACAGTGACCTCGATGACCACCATGGCCACTACCACCACTCTCCTCCTTCTCCTGATCCTAACCGCCGCCATAACCACCGCCACCTCAGCCCCGATCCTAGGTCTCGACACCTTCCTCACCCACCAATCCCGCCTTGACCGCCATGCCACCAACGACTCCTTCCTCTCTCTCTCCTCCACCCTCAAAAACTCCCTTTTCCATTCTACCCCTCTCTCCCACACCCCCCACTCCCTCATCTCCTCTCTCCTCTCCCTCTCCCTCCCCGTCTCTCTCCACGTCCGCCTTGTCGGCCCCTCCTTCCCCCCCAGCTCCGCCGCCCTCCTCTCCTCCTTCCTCACCGCCGCCTCCCAACCCTCCAACCACTTCCACGTTATCGCCCCCTACGAATCCTTCTCTCACCGCCTTGCCGTCCGGCACTCTATCCACCTCGACGTTTCTCACTCCCCCTCTCTCGCATCCCTCCTCACCAAAACCCTAAGCTCCGAGCTCGCCAAAACCACCTCCAGCCTCCGATCGCCGCTCCTCTCCGTCCCCTACGACTTAATCGACCAAATCATCAAGCAGGACTTCGAGAAAGAGAAGCCGGTTCATGGCGTTTACTTGTATTTCCTCGATATGGGTAAGCAATCCAAACCCTATGCATACAATTACGGATCTGGGGACTCTTCCCCTGCATTCACCAAGTGTTTGGGCAGCATTTGGACCGGGAAAGACCGGTATATCTGGATCGATTTGGGCGCCGGTCCGGTCGATTACGGCCCGGCGCTTTCAGGTGATGGGGTTCTGCCCAGAGGCGAGTTTCATCCTCTGGCGGCGTTGCACGGCCGCCCCAAGGCTCAAAAGGCGCTGCTAGCTGACTTGGCTTCCTTGGTTTGGAGTGCTTACCAGGTTCTTCTCGTGCCCTCCTTGAGAATTCCTGTTCAGTTCGAGAATTCATTGATTGTTCAGTTCATACATGTTTATGGTTCCGATGGTGGTAAGGATTCGAGTGGTTTGGACTGGAAATTGATTGAGAGGACGTTTATGGATGAGGCAAATGGTAATGGTTTGTTGTTAGGGGATCAGACTTTGAGTTTCAGGACTAGTCGGGTGAGTTACTCAGACTGCCTGATTTGTTCATTCGCGGTTTCGAGGTCTACTAACTCGTATACATCGAGGTTCTTGTTTGATAACTATACTTTGATTGCAAGTGAGTATTTGGACTCGAAGCGATTGCATCAGATATTGTCTGATTCGGCTGAGGAGTTTAGGAGAGTGGCTGGGCTCCCTGAGGAGGATTTTGCTAGGGTTCTTCCTGTTTATGTGTTTGATTTGGACTACAACATGCTGTTGTTGCTCGATAGGTATCACCAATCAGTTGCTTTTAAAGACATGGTTATTGCAGTGAGGACGAAGAACACGCAGACTGTGAGTGATTATAACTGTAATGGGCGTCATGTGTTTACGCAAACAAGAGAGCTTGAGAGACCACTTGTTGGTTCGATTTTGCAGAGCATGTGGGGAGTGTCACCGACCCATATGCTGTGGAGCCCTAGGCACAATACTACATTGGTGGATTACACATGGAGTATTGGCCAGACTCCCTTTGGGCCGTTCTCTGAGATTTCATCCTTATCATTCGTACAGAAGGATGCTGCTCGGAGAAATGTTCTTTTGACATCTCTGAATTACACCATATCGAGTGCTGTAGATGTTCTCCAATCCATAGCTGCACATGGCGGGGAAAGAAAGCTCCTTAAGCGTAGTCGACACGTTGAATTCATACAGAGGTGGAACTTGTTCAGGTACAAGCTGGACAAAGCAGTCTCTGCAATGTCGCTTTTGGATTTTGGGATGGCTTTGTTTTATTTGCGGTCCTCAGACCACGACCTATACGCTATCCACTCTCTCGTCTATCAAGCCTCCCAAGAAGTGGAGGTATCCCTTGTATGTTTCAAAGATCCACCAGTTCCGTGGAATGGGATCTTCATGGTGGGATTTGTTATCGCTGTTGCCTTTTATCTTCATTCTAAACGAGATAAAGTCTTCAGAAATAAACGTAAGCAATTTTGAAACGCTTTTAGAGGAAGCTAAGGTTTGTATCTTTTGAATTCAATACTACACTGTATTTCTGTAAGGAACATGATTCGTATGTCAGGTCTAGTCTTCAGTTTTGCTCATAACTTCCTTCCCCATTACTTCAAGTTCATCACTTAATTACCAGGAACTGTATGCATTTCATAGAATTTGAGGGTATGTGTTACTTTTATGGTGGCGTTGTTCTTTTAAACCGACTTCCAGGAAACCGTCTATAGGGCCACATGTATAGACGATCCGTGGAACCCAGTGTGAGACCATAGCAGCTGCAAGTTAACACTAGGTTCCACGGATTGCGGAAGTCGGTTGGCCAAAAAAAATTTGAAGGGAAGTGGTTGGTGCAGAAACTCGACGTTATTAAGGTGTCTAATTTAAATCGATATGCAGCATCGATCTCGAACTCTGTACATTTGATGCGCCAGTTCTGCTTGCTAACAAATAATACAAAATTTTCTTCCCATACGAAGATGTTCTTGTTCTGTTTCGCATGCATCTAAGAAACGAAGAATAGAGTCTCCGAAGCATTTGCCTTTGTGGGTTGATTGAGCAAAATCGTGCTTGCAATGTTGTTCCATGGATTGTCGCCGTCGGTGGTGGAGGAGCAATCAAATGGATTGTCGCCGGTTCCCTCATAGAAGATTCCACCGTACTCATCATCGCTACCCGCCTGGGGTTGGTTCTTTGGTTCCTCGCCATCGGTGCTGTCATCCTCGGAGAAATTTGAGTTCTTCTGAACCAGCTCTCGGAATATTGATGATTGAAGGAGGAGACCAAGTGCAGTGGGAGAAGATGACTTGCTGCCGGCGTTAAGATTGGTGCTGCTTCGGGTGACTTCTTGCTTTCGCGGAGAGTTCAGATAGTCAGAGGCAAAAGGGTTGGTGTGTGAGAAGGATGTTTCGTCTGCTGGGATGTAACTACTGGTCATGAACGGCATGTTCTGAGGCTCTGTGACTGCTTCTGGTTCTTGAGTGGCTACGGTGTCGCCAGCTTTTGGCTTCAAACATCTTATGTAAGAACTCAGGTCAAAATTGGTGACGGCATTGATCCCTCTGTACTCAATCGCTGCAATGTCGTAGGCGCGAGCTGCTTCCTCTTGGGTACCTGAAATGACATAGAAACACGTCGCTCAGCATCTTCGTTATGATTTCAATAGTCCAACCATGGAGCGGACGTCTATTCTTTAATAAATAACCGATTGTTGATATATCATCATTAACGTGTTGATATATCATCAATAATTGTTGATAGATCGTTAAGAACAAACGCGTTGCACAGATTATTTTTCAATTTCCTCTTTCGCGACAGCTTATTTCACTGTAACTGGTTTTCGGGTTTGAAGACAACTTACTGTAAGTGCCAAGGTAGAGGTACTTGTTTCCGAAAGCTCTTCCGATTCTTGCTTCCCATCTGCCGTTATGATGGTGCCTGCAAAATATACATATGCACAAAATAATCAGACACGTTTCTTCATTAGTAATTTTTCGAAGAATTTGACTCGAAGATAATCGAAATATTAAGAATGTTACCTTGCTACTCCTCTGTACTTAGATACACCTCTTGAAAATCCACTGCTTTTTCTGTAACAAAAGGAAACACCTAATATTTTAGGGAACTCAGAGATCAAGGAAATTCTCAACTGCAGAAGTCTTTCTGCAGAAAGACGTTCGAGGTTGTACCTTCTTAACGAGGCCAAAAACTCTTCTTTCGTCACAGATTGCATGATCTCGATTTCTTTCTCATAGTCCGATATCTGCAAATTAACATTAGGGTTTTATGTTAAACTTCCAAAACCATGCAAAAGCACACAACCTTACGTTGTCTTGAGATTTCGTACCGGGAAGTTGGTGAAAGTCGATGCTCCCCAGTACTTGAGCGCTGCTAAATCATATGCTCTTGCAGCAGATTCTTCTTCGCCATAAGCTCCAAGGTAAACTGCTCAGTCCAAATAGTCCATCAGAAAGCGATACGATACAACACAAGATTTCAAACAAGGAAGGAGATATCAGTGCCAGAAGGCTAGATGATTAAAAATAGTGAAGTAAAATAAATAAATAAAACAAAATGAACGTATAATCTACCTTGTTTCCCTTTCTTCTTCTGTGTTACATTCCATGAGAGCTTATCCCACAAGTGAGCTTCGAATCGACCAGTCCACCGATGCCTGTTAAACAAACAATTTACCTCAATATTTTTACACACGAAAGAAGAAACCACAAAAAACCATTAGAACTTATGTTCTTTTCTAACCTGCTGACACCCCGAAATCTCGAGCTTCTCTTCATGGTGGTAGTAAGAGTTTGATCAGCTAGCTTTTGCGGCAACTTCTGCTCAGTCTGGCTGTTGTCACAACTAACCGCAACTGGAGGCGGGTCTCTTCTCCTTCTCTTGACACACCGGGCTGCCTGAGCCTCAGGGTCTTCTGCACACAGGCGGCGCCTCCCAGGGTTCTCTTCGTTCTTCACCATCGTCAACTCCATCTCTTACAACAAGCCCTTGATCGATCGGGTTCTTTTATTTCTCTTCTTCCTTCAATCTGTGGTCTTTGTTTCCGTGGTTGCTTAGACGGTAAGGAAGGATATTTGAACGTTTATAAAATTTGTGTGCTTGTTTCGGATTTATGCTGTTGTTGTTTTGTGTTGTCACAACTGTTTTGGATTAGAAAAGGGGAACGATGAAATCAAAGCATGTAAGAAAATTTTGAGAATGTCCGTACTGTGTTTGGTAAACACAAATATCCAAAATTCTAAAGGTTCCATGTGGTTTTGGAGTTGCTCATATGGCCGGTTCGTTGCTGCTGCTGCATGCGGCATGCCAGTCAACATGTGCAAGGTTTCATGCCAGTTTAAATTCTTGAAGGGTTTTCCCGGCCATTCAATGGTTGTGTATATAATATACAATTACACACACACACATGTATATATATATTTCAAAAGGGAAGGATGATTTTAACTTGGTGCAATAGGGTAGACGACACATTGTCATAACCAACTGATTTAATCTATATATGTGTTTTTCTTACGAACTGACATAATCCACATCTGCAATGATTACATAATTTAAATTTGGGTAACTTTCAAGCATCAAAAGTAACTTTCAAAGTTTAATTGCGGTTAATTTGTTCATATAAGATTTGAGTTTCAACCTCATTTACTTATAGCAATCAACATACTAGATCCACATTGTCTAAAGATTGATATGAAGTAAAACTCATACCCCCTTTAAATTTGTTCTCACTAAGATCTACGAGTGAAATTTTTGGTTGTCACTGATTATAATGCAACTATATTTCTATATAATCACTGAATATTAGAGAGACAGGCACATGATAATGTACAATACAACTAGTGATTCGACAGATTTACTCTTATGCCGAAAGTTTTAAGCAGCTGGCATGAAGGTGACCGAAACAACCCAACAAAATAAAAGATTAAAAAAAGAATGCGTGTGCTGATCTTGGTCATTGACATCGACCAGCTGAAAGTTCCGGCTGATCTTGGTCATTGACATCAGACATGGATCCCCTCCGGATCCATTGGTCCTAATCTACCAAATCCGGTTAATCTGGACATTTAAAATTTGATACAACGGTTACAAACGGAGTCAATTTTAAAAGTTATAATAACTTTAACCGTTTGATCAAATTTCAATAACCCGAATTACAGAATTTGGTGGATGAGGACCAATGGATCCAGAGAGGATCCATGTCCATTGACATCGACCAGCTGCAAGTTCCTGCGAATCAACCATGTTTATCTTATTTTATATATATAACAAGAACAGTAGAGCACTGTAGAAAAAGCAAGAAAACAAGTAGAAAGATGGAGTGTTTGTCAAGAAATAATGATTTTTTTTTTAAACAGCTGGTCGGTTTCTGATTCTAAAATTCCTTAGGGCTCATCGGATAGTTTGGAATTTTATGTTTAGTTAGTTTTTAATTAATATAGTAATTAATTACATTCAGGTTCTGATGCTTTTTTGAGTCTGATGCCTACGGATACCACGGTGTTTTCTAGGAATTTTTTTCTTTGAAAATAATAATTTCAACAGAATTGTAGTTAATATTGTTATATATTATATTACTTCTCATAATGTACTTGCTAATTGTAGTACTAACTAATATATATTTAAGGAATTCCGAGTCTATGTAGTTAGGGTTATGCATTCACTCGCATTTTATAAAATTTTAAGCATTACAATGATCCAATAACTCTGGAGAAGAGATTAAGTTTGTCATTTTATTGAAAATTGATGGTAACACCCGTTCAGGCTTCCGTTTTCCAATCTCCTCCCTCTTCATAGGGGGATTTTTTCAGTGTGCCGACAAGTATGTTAATACAATTAACTAGGAAACTTTTTTTCAAGTTTTATTCTCTTTTGACTTCTTCAATTCTTAGCAACCAAAGATTGGTCAATCCCACATTGGAGATCAAGCTTATGTATCATCTTTCAGAGCAAAAGAAACGGAGGAGATGGAGGGAGGAGATGGAGGGAGGAGTTGAAACGAGGACTAACGGCAGGATATGTTCAATTTAGAGAATGAGATAAACGAGGAAAAATAAATTCAAGCTAACCTGTTCTCTCCAGCGTCATTGGATCGTTTGAATGTTTTAAATTTTATAAATTGCTGGTAAATGCACGGTTTTTAAATGTAAAGACTCGAGATCCTATATAGAGATTCAAGTTTTATTCTCATTTGACATCTCCTTTATTTTCAACATAAAAGGAAAGGTCTTTTTAGTTAAATTGGTTTTTAAGATTGACATAACTCCTCACTTTGGTCTAGTGAAAATCGATAAAAATGGTCCCTAAATTTGTCCACTTTCAATCATTTTGGTCATTCTGTGAGAAATCTCCGTGAAATGGAAAATCAAGTAAAGGGGTTGATTGGACAAAAATTACCCTTAATTGAACGAAGAATTTTCACGGAATGATCAAAATGATTGGCGTTGGACAAACTCAGGGATCACTTATATCGTTTTTCAATCTCAAGAACTAAGGAATTATGCCTATTTCAAGAACCACGGTAGATAAAATGCCAAAAAAGAAAAGTCCGTATAAACGGGCTTGTGAATGGGCCAGATACCAACCCCGCCCAATTAGTTTATAGTTGGGCTTGCTTGGGTTTCAAAACGACAGCGCAACACCAACATCGCATCCCAATTGGCGCGCATTGGGGGCAGTGCGCATTGCGCACAGCCAATCCAACTATAAAACACCCTCCTCTCCCACTCCCACCATCTCAAACGCACACTCCCTCACTCTTCAAATCTTCACCGCTTCTTTCTCTCATGCTCGAAGCTTGGCTCCGCAGCTCGGGTTCGATTCCTCGACCGTGAGAAACCATGACGGACGGCCACCTCTTCAACAACATCTCCCTCGGAGGCCGCGGCGGCACGGTGAGTTTCTCTATTCCCCGCTCCGATTCGTGGTAGCTGGAATTTTGGGGGTTTCGTTCGTCGATTAGGGTTTTTCCTTCTGAACTTTTTCAAATGCGATATGAATGAGTCCTCTTTGATTTGGGAATGAAGTTGGTTTCAGTTTATTTGGGTCGGTCGAATTTCGTGTAGAAATGAGGGTTTATGGGGATTCCGGTAGCTGGGTTTTCTTTCTATTGGTCCCTTTGAAACCCTAATTTGTTTCTTCCTGGATTTTTCTTTGATTTTTGTGCAATTTGGTTGTGGAGAAATTTGTAATTATTAATTTTGTGCAGAGCGGGAATCGTAGGGTTTGGGATAGGGAAGTCGGGGTTTTGTTTCGGTTGTTCGTGTTGAATTTCCATCCGTTTAAGTTTCAATAAAGTCTTTCACTTTTTGGTGACGAGAAATTTGAATATGCTCTGCTTGGTTGCCATGGAAATCCGAGGAAGAAAAGTTTGTTCCTTCCTGATTTGATTGCATTCGGTAGAAGTTTATTGCTTTATATTCAGATTTTTGAATTTGCTGAGATGGTGAAACCTGAAGTGGTGAAGTGATTAATGAGCTATGGAGGAAATGTAAACTTACTCATTGTGTTGCATGTGGAATGCAGAATCCAGGGCAGCTTAAAATATTTTCAGGAGGAATTTTATGGAAAAAACAGGGAGGTGGTAAAGCAGTCGAGGTTGATAAAGCTGACATTGTTGGGGTAACATGGATGAAGGTCCCAAAGACTAACCAACTTGGTGTTCAGATTAAAGACGGGTTATACTACAAGTTCATTGGATTTCGTGACCAGGTTGGTGAGCATTTACATAGAATTATTCACTGATCCACTTCTTGTCTTATGTTTTTGTTTAATATATTTTACAAAAAGTCTTGTAATTATTTAACAAATGCGCATCCATAAGAACTTTCATTCACAAGGTGATGGTTTAAACTGAGTATTTTTTTTTTCATGCATCTGAGGCATGCCAATTGTGATTTTGAGTTATGATAGACTAAACTAAAAAGTAGCTTTCAGTCAATGATGCTCTGCAGGGATGTGAACTGCATACTGATTTTTGGCTCTTTAATGCTGTGCTTGCATTGTAGGACGTCACTAGTTTGACCAATTATTTTCAAAATACATGTGGGTTAACACCGGCGGAGAAGCAACTTTCTGTAAGCGGACGTAATTGGGGAGAAGTGGATTTAAGTGGTCAGTGATGTTCTCTTATATTCAAGTTGCCTGTTGTTTACTTATTTTGATCTACCTTGCATTCTTTGTTATGATCACTTTTTTCTTGTAAATTGCTTTCTTCCATGTTTTTTGGTATGTGGATAGATTCTCAATTTCTCATTGGATGAAAGTTGGGAAAATGATTTCTGCTTGCTACATCTTTAAACATAATGTGCAGCTGAAATTGCTTGAAGTTGGTTCTTCTGTTTTCGCATTTTTCAACTTAATGCTTTGTCTTTTATGGAGTCTTAGAGCAACTGGACATTTCTTTTTGTGCATGTTTAATATCCTTAAGAAATGGTCTTGTGCAGTTCTGTTATGATTTTTTTACCATTCGTCCATGTATGATTCCTTCTCTGATGATAATGATTCCCTTGTTGTATCATTGGTTTGTTAAACATCTCTTCTGTTCTGCAGGGAATATGCTGACTTTCTTGGTTGACTCCAAGCAAGCATTTGAGGTATCTTTGGCTGATGTCTCACAAACACAACTTCAGGGAAAAAATGATGTCATCTTAGAGTTCCATGTGGATGATACCACAGGAGCTAATGAGGTTTGTTGCTTACATTTGGTGTTTCATATACTTTTTCCTAAAGATGGTGGGAGTTTTCTACATTTATACTTATGGTTCTAAAGTTACCCATAGTTAGATATGAGCTCTCTTTGGCATAAAATCTAGGTTTTTTCTCGAGTAATTAATAGTTTCATACTGAGTTGTTTGCTTATGAGTATTTTTCTATTTGTGTTATATTTACAACAGAAAGATTCATTGATGGAAATAAGCTTTCATATACCTAACTCCAACACTCAATTTGTTGGTGACGAGAGTCATCCTCCTGCTCAGGTAAGTAAGTTCTTGCTATGTGATAAGAGTTTTGTAGGTCCTTTTTTTCATTGATCTTGCAATTGATATATTGATAATTTCTAATTGAATATTATGTAGGTTTTCCGTGACAAAATCTCGTCGATGGCAGATGTTGGTTCTGGAGGTGAAGATGCTGTTACCACATTTGATAGCATTGCAATCCTTACACCAAGGTAGATATTAATGAAAATGCTAGGGATACTGCACCTACTTCGATCCATACTAGCATAGGAACATGCGCCTTCTGTATTTATTAGATTATGCGTATATGTACTATGCCGGTGCATGGATTTCTTTCCATATGCAATGCCAGGCTAATGGAAGTACTTGTTTAATGTAGGGGTCGCTACAGCGTGGAACTTCATCTTTCATTCTTGCGGCTACAAGGACAGGCTAATGATTTCAAAATTCAGTACAGCAGTGTTGTTCGGCTGTTTCTACTTCCGAAGGTTTCAATCTTATCTTGGGCACTAGAATTAGTTTTTCACTTGTTCCTCTTCCAAAGCTTTTGTTATACATAATTAGCTTAGTTACCTTACCTACAACATTGTTCCATGCATATTAGTGAGTTCTCTTCAAGGGCTGAAAGGACTGTCAGTGTTCTAATTACTCCATTCTTGGAACCAGTTACTGTGGCTTTGGCATGTCTATAATAGATTCTTTGTTTGTGCAGTCTAACCAGCCTCATACCTATGTTGTTGTTACTCTTGATCCTCCTATCCGTAAAGGGCAAACATTGTACCCACATATTGTTTTGCAGGTAGTGTTTGTTTCTTTGCCTTGTTGATCAGCGGTTTGACTTTTTTCATTGTTTCCTTCAATTGACATCTTCTGTCTTGTGAAGTTTGAAACTGACCTCGTGTATCAAACCGACCTGGCAATGAGTGAAGAACTTTTGAACACGAAGTACAAGGACAAGTTAGAACTATCTTATAAGGTAGATAGTTCCTTCTACTCTCCTGAAGATTGTAATCTAACTAACTGTTGTTTTATTTGTTTAAAACAGTGTGCTAATTGACGTGTGCTGCCGTTATTTCTTTTATTTTTAAATTAACAGGGACTAATGCATGAAGTGTTCACCACAATACTGCGTGGCTTGTCTGGTGCCAAAGTTACGAAACCGGGAAAATTCCGCAGCTGTCAAGATGGTTATGCTGTCAAATCTTCATTGAAAGCTGAAGATGGTGTTCTATATCCTCTGGAGAAGAGCTTCTTTTTTCTACCAAAACCTCCCACCCTTATTCTTCATGATCAGGTAGAATATGCATGCATATGATTGAGATTATAGTGCTGATATACCCGATTGATAAGTGGAACCTCACCCTTTTTCTTTTTGGTGTTTCTGTTACAAGATTGACTATGTGGAATTTGAGAGGCATGGCGCTGGAGGCTCAAATATGCACTATTTTGACCTTCTCATCCGACTCAAAAGTGAGCAAGAACACCTGTTCCGAAACATTCAGAGGAATGAATATCATAATCTTTTTGACTTCATCAGGTTGGTAATGAGTGCTGGTTTCCATAGTTGGTCTTTGGTGCTGTGGATTTTAAAATTTGACCTTTTGGCCACATGTCATGTGCAGTTCAAAGGGTCTCAAAATCATGAACTTAGGAGAAGGCCAAGCAGCAAATGGTGGTGTGGCTCCTCTTCTTGATGACGCAGATGATGATGCTGTTGACCCGCATCTTGTCCGTGTGAAGAATGAAGCTGGTGATGATGAGAGTGACGAAGAGGTGGAACTTTTATCCTATATTATTTGTTTACTTTTGTTTTTTTCTTGGTCTGATTCTCTTTGGATTGAATATATCATGGACTGCACTATTAATAGGATACAGTTTGGTAAACTACTTATATTTTTCTTCCCTATTGCTATGTATATCCTTCGTCGATCTGTAAAATGCTGAAAGTTCTTCTGTAGTTTGTAAAAGCGGATGTTTGTGAACAGGACACTCGTTCGGACTTTAATTAAAACATACATCAATTATGTCGTTCGGACTTTAATCAAAATTTTTTGGGATAGTTGGTAATTCCATAACTGTTTTCCTTGGGCATTCTTTATTTGTGGTTCGTTCTAGTGGTTTCATGCATCCGTACACTTTTGTGTTGACATGTGTCGTGTGATATTCCAGTCTAAATGTGTTAAACGTGTTTAACTTTGGCAGGATGAAGATTTTGTTATTGACAAGGATGATGGAGGTTCTCCTACTGATGACTCCGGGGAGGATGATTCTGATGCTAGTGAAAGCGGAGGTGAAAAAGAGGCAAGTCATTTCTATTAATTTTGCTGGCCTAATAAGTATAATTGTGAGAAGATTTATCAATGTAACATGAATTGTCAATTTCAGAAGCCTGCGAAAAAGGAGTCTCGTAAGGAACCTTCAACTTCCAAGGTACCATCTTCCAAGAAACAAAAAACCAAAGATGCAGGTGAAGATGGTTCAAAGAAGAAAAAACAGAAGAAGAAAAAGGATCCAAATGCACCGAAAAGAGCGATGTCTGGTTTCATGTTCTTCTCAAATACGGAGAGAGAGGTGGGTTTTTTAATTTCTGCCTATTGGTTCTAACTTTTGGTTCAGGTTCTTATCGACGTTTCGAAGAAAATTACTGACCTTATTTGTGTTGACCACAGAATGTAAGGAGAGAGAACCCTGGAATTGCGTTTACCGCTGTGGGGAGAGCACTTGGAGAGAAGTGGAAAAAGATGTCGGGTATGTATGCTTCGACTGAAATTGCATCCAGCGTGCTTCCAGAACATGATGAATTTCTGCGAATTACAACTTAACGCCATGTTTTCCATTTTTCAGCTGATGAAAAGGAGCCATATGAAGCAAAGGCTCGTCAAGATAAAGAACGCTACAAGGATGAAATTAACGGCTACAAGAACCCCCAACCCATGAACATAGATTCGGGGAACGAATCTGATTGAAAGCGCGTAGATTAAGATAGGAAATGGAACGAGGCAGTTTTTAGTTCGAAGAGTAGTGTTTCCTTGAGCTCTAGCTCATCGGTAGGATCTGTGTTCGTTTCTTTCTTGCATCTATTTATTTTCTTTGTACAATGTATGGTTAACATTATATACTTGATGTACTAGTTAGGTCATAAAATACCCGTTTTCGTGCCGAGACGACTATTTTCAGATACTCCGACTTCCCACTACGGTGTCTTGCATGCTTCAACACAAAATATTTGTTGCGCTCTTCTTTCATTGTTAGTAGAACAACTACCTCCGGTGGTCTCCTCTTTCTCAACCCTTATTTCAATCTTCTTTAATTGCAATCGGATGCAGCAGTGGCGGTGGCCGCCGTTGCCTATGGTGGTGTTCCAACTCCTGAACTTCACAGGAAATATGGACCCTCATTTATGATTTGCCTAAATCTTTTCTGGTTAAATTTTCAAATGTTTCCAATACCAATTCTCAATCTAAAACTACATTTTCTTTCAAGGCACCCTTACTTTCATCTCTTTTGTACCTGAAGACGGTAGCGATGCCACGAACGACAGTAGGATATCGTTGTATTATCTACAATCTTATTCTTTTTACGAAGTAAATTTTTTGTTTAGGGATGTTTCGAGCTGTATATATTTCTTGCTACAAAAGAAAAGGAATAGAAATCCAAAAAAATTTAAAATTAAGAATTAAAAACCTTTCGTACTCGCAAACAATGTTCATTACTCCACAAAATTGGATTGGATTATCTCTCGCGTTTATTTGCTTTTTATTTCTTAGGGTGTAAATACTACTACAACATAACCCTTGGGTTTGTTAATACATAATATAGATTAAAACACAAAAAAAAAAAAAAAAAACAAGCAAGTAAAAGAATCCATATCCACATTTCTCTGCACTTCACCATCACTTCTTCATTTGTTTCTCTTCAGTTATCACACTTCACCTTCCGGCACCGGCCGGCCGCCTATCCATTTGATCACCATTGATATATAGTTAGCTCTTTTATGTTTGTTCTAGCATGGGTGGCCAACCTTGCAGTTGAGAGAACCTGCAAAGCGTGTGAGCCTTGTGACGTATGTACCTGGCCTTGCCTTCATGACGTCTAACCTTCCAAATCCATGGTTCTTGCTAGGCACACCAGATTGAACAAAGAATGCTCCGTTTATCATAAGATCTCCTTCTGATCTCCATTGCCAGCTCTTCCATACGCTCTCCGGTGCATAGTCTCTCTTCGTCACCTGTAAATTCAAGCGTCACAAAATTAAAACATTACTTCAGTAATCATGTGTTCGCGTACGTATTAATTGATAATATTGTGTTCGTGTATGTACTTCTTTTGCAGCCTGGTTCGGTGGGGCGATGAATCGGTTGCCCTGGCTGATAATTGTGGGGTGAGAGCTTCCTCCGATGGCATACATGAGCCAATGTGTGTAGTCATTGTTCACAACATGGATAAATCCCCATCTGCATCTTGGCATTCTCTGTATCAATCCCTTGCCGAAATGGTTAAATGCAACCGTTATCTGCATGATTGCATCCCCAGAAAACCCATCGCTAGCTCCGAAAAGCATCACCTGCACCATTAGTGTCGCCAATTAGTTACTCTTTGTTATCTTATTTTGCAGTGTCAATAACATTTCCCGACCATTATCATTTAAAAATAAATAAAAACGTACGTCGTTGTGACGGGTGAAGTGGCTGTTGGATATGGTTATAGCAGTGGACCCTTGAATGGCGTCGATGAGCCCATCGGCGCAATTCCACATAGAAAGATGGTCGAGCCAAATGTTAGACGATCCGTAGATGGAGATACCATCTCCGTCGCTATGCGTGCGAATCCCGATGTGATCCACGGAGTCCCTGATCATACCTCCATTGCCCGGTACAGTGTCGTGGATGTGGAGGCCATGAATAATCACGTTCTGCACGAACTGGAGTGTGATCCCAGCGCCATGAGCAATATGCACATTTGCCCCGCGTGCGTCAATTGTCTTGTGGCTTGTTACTATGAGCTCCTGGGTCAGCCTGATGACCATGCTGCGTGCAAATATGATCCACAAGGGTTGCTTTTGGATCACGGCGTGACGTAGGGTTCCGGGCTTAGGGTCATGGATATTGTCGTCGGAAGAGTCGGTGACGATGTAGTAAGCCCCTTTCTTGCCTCCGCGTGTCTTGCGGCCGAAGCCTTTCACGCAGCTGGCCAGATGCTTGCGGTTGTCAGCCCAGTTGGCCTGGCACCGCCAGCAGCGGTCGATAGGGTTTGTGGCCTTGCAAGGGCCCGTGTAACGTTTGCCTAACAGATGCCTCCCTGTGCTGTTGCCCGCAGCATGATCATCGTCGTGGTCGTCCTCAATGATGGTCCTGCGTTATCATGCATGGTCGATTAAGGATATTGTTATTTGTACCATCTAACTAATTATCATCTCGTTTTTAATAAATAGACCATATATGTACAACATAAACGTTAAAAACCCTGCATTATCATCATGCATGATCAATTTCGAGCACTACTACTGATTACCGTCGCCCTTCTTTTAAAAGACTGTATTTAGATGAAATGATACAGACATTGGGAAAGAAACGCAACAATATAGATTGATAAACAAAATTTGAAGAGAATTAAGGATAAAAATGTCGAATTTACGTACATTTCAACGCTTTCGTTGAAGTCCTCGGTTACTTGTTCCGGGTTGGGTTGGTAGGCCTTGAGAGCTGCCTTCTGAGCTTTCAGGGCTCGTTGCTGCCATACAGAGTCGAACTCAGCAATGTTGAGGGTGTCATTTTGTGTCTCTGCCTTCAAGCTTGGAACCAGCATGCAGAAAGATATCATAAGAAGGGCCAAATTGAGCTTCGACGCCATTGGTCCAAGTATATTTTTTTGCTCTTTTTTTTTGTTTTTTCTTTCCTTTTTTTTTTTGTAAATTTAATTTTATAAATTTTTAAGAACAAAGTTTCTAGAAATGGCAAGGTCTATGAGATCGAGCCCAGATTTTAACCGGGGTCAGATTCAGCCCAGCTAGACCTTGCCTGAAAAAGATTAATTGAAATTAAAAAAAAAAAGATTCTAAAGTATATTGCAATACTATTGTATTGCTTGTTTTTTTGCAATGAAAATTTTGAATTATATAGAGAAAACGTTGTCTAAATTTAGAATCGTAGAAGGTGGGGAACCATCTTCCTCTAAAGGTTGACAGTTTGCCCAAAATGTGAGGACATGACTCAATGGAACACCCTATACACCACCACATTTGCGTGATGAAAGAGATATACAGTTTCATAAACAGACAAATGATGAAAATTTACAATCGTTTTGTTGAAGTTTTCCGTCGCATCCAGATCATTTCTATTAGATTGCAGTTAGATAACAGAAGTGGTACAATCAAACCACAATCATGTACTTAATTAGCATATCCTTAACTAATCTCCTTCATGGGTTATAATTGATTATTAGTTAGAATTAACCATAATCTTCCCCACAATCAATACAACCTGTTTTGTTTCTTTGAAATGGTTACTTTCCACTTCTTTAATAACTCATAAATATAACAAAAGAAAATAATACATAATGAAACATTTTGACATATCTGTCTATGGTTTTGCATGATATTAAATTGCCACATAATCTATTAAATTTAAATTTGATTTTTACATATGACATCTCCGTTAGAGATCCTTTTACGATGCATGTCATACTCCAAAATATGGTGGAAATTTCGATAATGTTGTTTCATTCATAACTTTGGTACCTTAATTATTTAATTGTCAATGAAGGGCAAATTGTCATCAATATAATTTCAGAAAAATTGTAGTAATGGTCTCTCAATTTTAATCCAATTGGAGCAATGTTCCATTAACTAAAAGTTTATGACTATTGATCCCTTAACTCATCAAAACGTGAAACTATGATTTTTTCGTCAAATCCGTCAAAATGAGTCATGTTGGAGGGGCCATTGTTACAATTGGGCTAAAGTTGAGGGACCGTTGCTCCAATTGGGTTAAAGTTAAGGGAACATTGTTTCAATTGAGTTAAAATTGAGAGACCACTTCTCCAATTGGATTAAAATTGAGGGAACATTGCTACATTTTTCTCATTTGGTTTCCATATTTGTCCCTTGATTCAACCTTACATCCATGACACGTGACTCATTTTGACGGAAGTTCTAACAGAGTTGACGAAAGGGAACATCGTTACACGTTTTGAGAAGTTGAGGGACTAATAATCACATATTTTTAATTGATAGACTATTACTCTGATTGAGTTAAAATTGAAGAACCATTGCTACGATTTCCTCAAATAATTCCAATCTTCTTGTAGTACTAAACAAGTGATGTCACTGTCACAGCCACCAATTTTGTTATTATACGATCATCACAACCATTTTATTTTTCAACACAAAGAAAATGATGAATAAACTATATAAAAAAAACCTATTATTTATTTTCTTGGTAAATTATAGGAAAAAAAGAAAAAGTCCTTTGCTTTGGGGAAAAGAAAAAGACCAATTTGGTAAAATTCAACAAATCAAATTAGCTTGGCCGAAACTCCAAGTCTCACGTGTAAATTCACAAAAAATAAAAAAATCCAGAAAATAGACAAATCAACGGTGAGGAAAGCGATATCCGACGGCCACCATTTAATCAAAAATGAAAAATAGAGTAAAATAAAAAACTCGCCAAAAAGAAAGCTGAAATTGAAATCGGGTGAGTGATTTAGGGCATTTCGCCTCCCCCAATATATATCGCTCATTGCCTTTCGCCATTTCTCACTTCTGCTTCTCAGAGAGCTACGGAGACGCCCAAATCCCTTCTGGGTTCCATTCTTCGCCTTCAAATCCCAAATCTTTGCTGAGAAATGGTGGGACCTGGGCTTTACACCGACATCGGCAAGAAAGCCAGAGGTATAGCTATCCCTCCTTTTACATTATCTGATATATGTATGTATGTGTGTGTGTCTATGTGTATGTATAAATTTGGTTGTAAAAAGCTGATGGGTTTTTCTTAAATTTCATTTTTTCTAATGGGTTTTTGTTAAATTTCAGATCTTCTGTACAAGGATTACCAGAGCGACAAGAAGTTCACCATCACTACCTTCTCTCCCACTGGAGTGGTGAGTTCTTTCCCTCTTTTTTCTTGCCTTGAGATCTGTATGTTCGTGTTTGTGTGTGTGTATGTATATTCACTTGTTGAATCTTTAGGTTTTTGTTTCTAGATATGAGACATAGTTTTATTCCACTTTCGGAGAAATTATTCGGCTCCGATTGAAACATCTAACTTTCTGTTTCAATTATGCTTAGTGGTTTAGCTTGTAACCATTTTTATCCTGTTAATTTTTTTCGAAGTTGATTAATATTTTGGGTTAGAATTTGGTGGCATTTAAGCTTGTACTGTTAATTATTGATTTATTTCTGTGATTATGTTGAATTGTTGAGTTGAACTAACATCCTTTTCCACTTAGTTATTAGATTTTGTTGAATTTAAGAACTTTTTTATTTTATGCCGGGTGCCGATTCTTTGCTAGTTTTGAGTTAACTTCTTTCGGTTGTATTATTAGATTTTGTTTAGTTTAAGAAATTTAGTGGATTTTCTAGCCAAACTCAATGAGCAGCGGAATATTACAACTGATTCATATATTTTTCCTTGTACTTTTCCCTTGCACATACCATTCTTACCGACTCTTCGTTCTACATGACCGCCCTATAGTTTACAAGTTCTAAGTTAACCATATTTCCTACAATTACTTACCGCTTCATATCTGCAGGCTATCACCACTTCAGGAACCAACAAAGGTGAGCTTTTTCTGGGTGATGTGAACACTCAATTGAAAAACAAGAACGTCACAACTGATATCAAAGTTGACACCGACTCCAATGTAAGTACACATCCGTTTATGTTTCTTTTCCATCTATTTTGTTTTACTGGATCCTATTGAGGTTTTTATTGTAAATGCCTAAAGTATTTTCATTTTTCCTTGCTTTTTGTTTGACCCACACATGTCCATTAGAAATAGTGTTAATGTTCATTCAGATATAATGGAACTGAGTAGCTTTACTACATTAACAACTGAATAAAGTAATCATTTTAATTTACTCATATTTTCTTGGTAAGTTGTGTTTACCAACAGTTTGTTTTGTTATCAGCTGTCCACCACTATTACGGTTGATCAACCTGCTCCTGGCCTGAAGGCAATCTTTTGCTTCAAAGTTCCTGATCAGAGGTCTGGCAAGGTAGGACTTTTATATGTGGTAAAACTTGTGGGTCGATGTGGTTCACTCTGTGTAGTAAAGCATTTCATTAATCGGGATCAGTTGTAGAATTGCTATCTAATATGTGGGTGATTGTTAACAGGTGGAACTCCAATATCTGCATGACTATGCAGGGATAAGCTCCAGCGTTGGTTTGACAGCCAACCCTATTGTTAACTTCTCCGGTGTTATTGGAACCAATCAGCTTGCACTTGGTGCTGATCTGTCATTTGACACCAAGACCGGGATTTTGACTAAATGCAATGCTGGATTGAGCTTCTCCAATGCTGATCTTATTGCTGCATTGACCCTGTAAGTATTCTTTTGGTTGTCTAAGATTGGCTTGTTTGATTTTTCATATATTGGCCTCCTGATGTTGTACTTTTGATGCATGGTGTGATAAAGATTAGTTTTTGTGATACAGGAATGATAAAGGTGACATCCTCAGTGCATCGTACTATCACAGTGTCAATCCCCTCTCCAACACAGCTGTTGGCGCCGAGGTGACTCACAGGTTTCCCACCAACGAGAATACCATCACTCTTGGCACCCAGCACGCCCTTGATCCAATGACAACCATTAAGGCACGTGTGAACAACTTTGGCAAGGCAAGTGCCCTGGTCCAGCATGAGTGGCGCCCAAAGTCATTCCTCACTGTTTCGGGAGAGGTAGACACCAAGGCCATTGAGAAGAGCGCCAAGATTGGGTTGGCTCTTGCTCTCAAGCCATGAGCGGGCTCATTGCTCACTGCGGCAGAGAGCAGAGGTAGAGCGTAGTATAGTTGTCTTTCCAGGCTGACTTCTATTCGGTTCTAAAAAGTTTGTTTCTTTTTTCTCGGAACAAGTCCATATGGTAGGGAAATCCTTCTATTTTGTTGGCATCGGTTTGTAAAAATAAAAATTTGATGGTTTCAGACATTTTGCTACCTTTTTTATTGCTGTGTCAGCCGAGGATGATGATGCCCGATAGAGTTTAAATTTTGTTCCCATTTTTCGTGCCTGTTTCGGTACTTCTTTTTCTCCTTCTATAAGCAATGATATTTCGGGCTTCTTTTGCATCTTCAAATAGCCACATGGGTCGACAAATATGTATTTGAAGAATCGTATTTGTATAATCCGTTGGAGATGCTCTAATTAAAACAAAATCCTATATAATTAGGAGACCAAAAAAGGAAAATAAGGTTTCCTGGTTTTTGAAATCTCTCCCATATCTCACAAGGCTTTCCTTTCTTTCCTTCCTCCATTCCACTTCCCTTCCACCTTCCCCCCTTTTTTTCTTCGTTCTCTCCTCCCTTCCACTTTCCTTCTTCCTTCCACTTTTTTTCCTTCTGCCGTTTCTTCCTTTTTCCCTTTCTTTGCATCTTCTTTCCATTTTTTTTCTCATTTTTTCTCCACTTTCCTCCCCACTTCACTCCATCTTCAACCCAATCAGCCCCATCCTTCTTCGACTTCACATCCTGGTTTGGCTTCTACATCTTTGTAATGCGATTTTTCGCGTTTTATTCGGAAGGTGTGTAGAGTTTTTGCTCGGGTGTTCACATCACCTCCTTCCTTGGGATTGCCTTTGATGGCACTGTTGTTAGTGGGGTGCTCCTTCCCACTTGGATTCATTCTTTTTGGGTTTCACTTTGTGGGCCCTGTTGCTAACGGGTTGCTTCTTCCAATATGTGGTAGCTACTAGTGTGGTGCTCGGCGATGTTTAGGGATTTGTTTTGGGATTCTATTTTCACTCAGTTTTCTTCTAGTTTTGGGGCTATGTTTAGCTTTTTTTTAGATGTGTGTAGGGAACGTTTGTTTCTGTTGGTTGGTAAGCGGCTTTCCGACGACGCCGGATTGAAGCT